GTGAAATTTATGAGTAGGTATGCTTTGAAAGATTGTAGCTTCTATTAATAACATTTATTTTTAATAAAAAAAAAAAAACTCAACAAAAATAGATCTATCTCAGAAATCTTCCTAGGCTATCATTTGCTACATTTGGTGTATTCATGTTCTTCTTATGGGGCAGGATAGACAGGGAAAATCCTGTTAGCAGAGAGAAAATTAGAGGGCTAATCATTGGCCCTCCTGAGGGTCCTGTCCGTCTGCCCCCTGGGGAAGGTGTTTCTGATGGCTTGAAGGTGAAATGTCCCCCACAGGCTCATATATTTTAACCTCCCAATCCACATCTAGTGGGTCCATTTGGGAACCCTGGGGAGGTAGATCCTAGCCAGCAGGTGGAAGTCACTAGTAGCCATCCTTTGAAGGTGTGGTCCAGCCTTGCTCCAGGCTACTGCCTGCTTCCTATCTGCCTCTAAGATCACTATGACGTGAGAAGCTCTGCCAGCCACTCCCACTGCCAAGGATGGAGCCACTCCTGCCTCCATGTTATCATCACTGAAATCCCACTGGAACCATGAGCCACAATAGACCCTTCTTCCCTTACGTCCCACCTAACTTGGTGTTCGCTCTGTGCTTGCTCATGTTCATCACTCGGTGATGATGGTGATGACTTTGGCCATTGCTGCTTCATCTTCTCCTGATCAAAGGTTTCCTGCTGCTGTGCTGTTATGACTTAGAAGAAACCTTCTCATGATTGTTCATAACTCAGAGTAAAAATCAAAGATTTCTAAGAAAAGAACAAATCTAAGTGTTGTATTTCTTTTATCTTTATGTTTTGCAAACTTTTGATTGGCTATTGTGGAAAGTAGGGTCTATCCTTGTGATAGAAATTCAAGGTGGAAAAAAAAATGCCTGAGAGAAGCAGGCACAGTTTCTCATAGAAACAGTGGGTTTGGCTGGCCTTGGGGTTCACTGCAGCTTTGAGACGCTCCTCATGGGGGTTGAGCATGTTTGCAGGCTTCTGTCTCTACTTGGGGATCATGCAATTGTCTCATGTCTGCAGGGAATCACTCCAGCTGTTTAACCAGCTCCTCTAATGAGCAAAGCATTATGGCCTTCCAGATCTCATGGCAAATATGTTCAAAATTAACTCATAGGCTCCTTCCATTTCAGCTATTTCTTCCATAGATTGGACTCAAAGCTTGTCATGTCAAAGCTGAAGAGGAATTATAAAAAGGAGAGTATTCCACTTACAAAAGGGACATGGTGCATGCCTGTGTTGCTCTGACACGAGGCAGTGAGGGGAATAGTGTCTAACCCTTTTCCTGAGAGGAGGAGCCAGTTCCCACTGACCTATTACACCTGGGTTAGAAGAGCAGACACCTGAGAAGTTCCAGGGTTTCCCTGAAGTCACCCTGAGCAGCATGAGCTGGGTCTCTGCTGCCACCCAGTGTCCCACTGGTAGCCAGGTTGCTGAGAGGCCAGAGGCCCAAGGCCACAGGTAGTAAGAATTGTTTGACACTTAGCTGCTGGGGAGCTGCCAGTAGACAGCCATGGGATTAGACCACTGTGCTCTTGATCTGGCCTTCCTCCCACAACATGTGTTCTCCTGGGTAAAACCCAGACAAAATGAGCAGGAAGCATGAGCATTGGCCCTGGTTTTCAGTGTTGTAACTCTTTCCCTCCCATGGGCACCTATGTATCCACTTCTAACAAGGTAATTCAACCGGTATATCGAGCTCCCCAGGCACTTCAAGCCTCACAGTGTTCCAGTGTCCCTGTGCAGGTTTCAATGAGAATGTATACCCATAGTCAGAGTCTCTGGCATTTGAATGCTTAGTCCCTCATTGGTGACCCTGTCTGGGGAGGCTTAGGAGGTGTGGCCTTGAAGGAGGAAGTGCCTCACTGGAGGTGCTTCTCTCTCTGATTTGTGCTCGCAGTTCCAAAAGTGAGTCCCAGCTTGCTACTGTAACCACCATGCTGACCACTTCCCTACCTTGATGGACTCTCCTACCCCTGTAACCATCAGCCAGAATAAATATTTTCTTCTATAAATTGCCCTGGTCATGGTGTTTTGTTGCAGTGATAGAGAAACAAATTAATAGAATTCCTAGTATGCTCTGTTGGTATAACTGAACAAAAGAACCCTGATGTTTACTGGGATGGTTGGAATAACCACCTGAAAGAGGAAACTAGCTAGGAAGCCTTGCTGAGATGGGAATCACCTACTCCTATTTCACTGCCCTGAGAAAGCAAGAGGAAGTGATGTTGAAATAAGGGGGCCGGCGTCAACACTTTCTTTGTGAAAGATCCACCTGGAAATTGATTCTCAGTTTGACCTGATTTTTTTGGGGGGTGGGGGGCGGGGGGGGGGGCAACCTGTGAAGAAATTCAAGACACTTCTCTAAAGAGAGAGGAAATAAATGGCAGGCAGGCCAGGGCTGGGCTCTCCTCTGCCTTTCCTTCAAGACCAAGCTGCGGTACCTACTGCAGCAGGCTCTATACCCAGTGTGATGGATAAGGAGAGATGACTCTTCTGCATTCCCTCTGGTTGCAACTATAGCAGCAGTCTTGGTTCTTGTGTTCCCAAGGGAAAAGAATTCATATGTGGGCACATATAGAATGAGTGAGTAAAGTATTTCAAAGGTGAGAAAACCTAGCTAGGCAGTGGTGGCACACACCTTTAATCCCAGCACTCGGGAGGCAGAGGCAAGCGGATCTCTGAGTTTGAGGCTAGCCTGGTCTACAGAGTGAGTTCCAGGACAACCAGAGCTACACAGAGAAACCCTGTCTGGAAAAAAAGCAAAAGAGGTGAGAAAGCCAAGGCGGGAGCAAGCAGGCACCCCCAGAGTGCCCAGCAGACCGAGCTGAATGGGGCACAGCAGCCTCTACTATGTGAGCTTATAAACTTGTATGACACTGGATGAGAAAGCAATTGTGTGCATCTGTAATCCCATCAATCCTATAGCAAGATAGCAGAGACAGGAAAATCACTCAGAAACTCAGACCAGCAAGCCTGAGTACACAGCACAGTGAGGACAAGAGAGACAGACCCTGCCTCAGCAAGATACAGGGCAATGCTTTGGGGTAATCTAGTGTCAAAGACACATTAAATGTGTAAATTTAATGAACAGATTCTTGGCAGACTGGACATTTTGCAAAGTGGACATTCACTGAGCTGATTTTTAGTAGTTGGCTTTCAGATTGATAGCTGATGTGGTGCCCAGGTAAGCAGTGTTCATTTCTCAGTGGCAACTCAAATGATTAGTTCAATATGACAACTGTGAGGAGCAGTGGAAATGAATATTGCAGATATTGTGCAACAGTTCACAGTGAGTAAAGAGCTGGCAGGAAAGAGAATGGGTCACTGTCCAGAGGAGCCAAAGCAATCCTGGCCAGTTGTTGGTGACTTTACCCAGACAGAGGGGAAGAGAAGACTGTCGGGGAATCATCCAAAATTGGATGACATTCATAGTAGCCATCATTTATGAATATGTCATCCATATTCTGTGCTGAGCACTTTATAGGCATCTATTTATTAGTCTTCAGAAAGACCCTTGAGTTAGGAACTCGTATCACCATTCTGGTTTGGTAGGGTGGAATCTAAGTCACTAGAGTAAAGAGACTTAACACAAACCTTACAATCCCAGTGATGCAACTGGATTCAAACCACACACTGAAGTTCCTGCCAAGAGGCTGAATTTGAGCTCACCAGCTATTTAATTCTCAGTGATTAAGAGTAGGGTGAGCTTAAGCAGAGATGAAGTGTTGTAAACCTAGAGGCCCAAGCTGTATTGGGATGCCTGGACTACTTTGGAAGCCTGTTGTCATGACCTCTGTCTTAATTTGCATTTCTGTGGTTGTAAGATGATATTTTATAGACGTATGTCAGCCTCTATTTAAATCTTGAGGCTGGCACAGGTACAATAGAGGCTTGAAGGTTATAAGGATAACCAACTTCTTTGGGGTTGGATTTGAGGCCTGGTTCACATGAAGGAACTCAAGGCCTAGGACTGTAAAACTGGTCGAAAGTCCCTGAGTTGGGAGGTCAGGTTCTCAGGGGGAAACTACTGTAGGTGTTTTGCTAACTGACATGATGTCAAGCTCCTTTCTAAATATGTATGATTATACCAATGGATTAATGCAGATCTCAACCTTAACCAAAGAAGCTTCTCTCTACAGTGGTCAGCAGTTAATGTGGAGACTCATAACTGGCCAAAGAGAGTAACAGTCTATTGAGTGTTCAGCCCTAAATGAGACATCTATATCACACACACACACACACACACACACACACACACACACACACACACACACACACACGTACTTGAATGCATGCACACCCTAAAGCTCAGAGAACATCTCAGAAGAGGGGTGGAAAGAATATTAGTTTAGAAATGGGAATGTTATCCTAGTGAGGGTGTCTGTGTGGATTTTAGTAGAATGAGTGGTGTTTTAGTTACTCTTCTATTACAGTGATGAAATACCATGACTTAGACAGATTATGGAACAAAGAGTTTATTTTGACCCACAGTTCCAGAGGGAGAAGTGTCTCCCCATGGTGAGAAGGCATGGCAGCAAGCTGCAGCTGCAGGAAGCTGAGGGATCACATCTTTAGCTGCAAACAAGGAGGAAGAACAAAGCAGAAATGGAGCGAGGCTCAGTACAATCCAAGCCTGTCTCCAGTGTGTACTTCCTCCAACAAGGCTCTCCTATAACCTCCCCCAAACAGTGCCATCAACTGGGGACCAAGAATTCAAAAAAGTGAGCCCATGGGAAATGGTTCTCATTCAAACCAGCACAGGCAGTCTTGTACTAAAAGGATTGATGTCTACATTTAAAAATAAATATAGTTAAGTGAAGATGAGAAAATAGTAATAATGGGATGATGAGAATTCGAGTGTGTTGTTACAGATTCCACTTTCCATTTCAATAGGGATAAAAACTAGGAAATAAAAATTACCAAACTTCTTTTTTTTTTTTAAGATTTCTTTATTTATTATGTATACAGTGTTCTGCCTGCATGCCTGCCTGCAGACCAGAAGAGGGCACCAGATCTCATTCTAGATGACTTTGAGACACCATGTAGTTGCTGGGAATTGAACTCAGGAACTCTGAAGAGCAGCCAGTCTGCTCTTGACCTCCGAGTTTTTTGTGCTAATCCATAATGATGAACGAATTCATCATTAAAAGTTTTCTCATGTTTATTTTGTTGGAGAGTTCACAACTCTCCCAAATACCCAGCATAACATTTAAACTCATATTCATTTAGGTGTTTGAGTTGGATTACAAAGTACAAATGGAACAATGGTCAGAGGAGAATGTTGCCTTCCTGACCCACCTATAGCTTGGCCTATTAGGTCATTGGCATGCCCAGCCGGACTCCATGAGCCTCCTGCAGTGACAGGAGATAGCCAGCAGGGGGAGGTGTGGCTACCTCATCTGCCTACAGAGCACTTTGTTTGCCAGAAGAGCTCAAACTCTGAGTTGACTGGTTGCAGATCTTCAAACTCTCTGAGTTGACCGGTTGAAGATCTTCTTCCAAAATGAACTGCAATTTGAGATGTTTCTTCTCAAAGGGTAATGATTAGAAAAAACAGAGAAAATTAAGAAATTACAAGTTTAAATTTTGAGTTAGTAGATTTACTAGAAAAAAAATAGAGCAATTTTGAATATTAAAGTTAACATTGAGACTCTCTGGGTGAAGGATTCTAAGAGATCAGTTGCTATGAGGGAATTGTGATGTAGTCAAGACAGAAGTGAAACCAGGATGAAATTTGTTTATAAGTTGATTGAGTGTTCAGTCCTAAACAAGACCATACCAGCCCCTCAAAAGCTTGGCGAGATAAAGGAAGAAAGAGGGTGGAAAGGATGTAAGGCCTGGAGCACAGAGAGAAAGGCTTTGAAATGCCTCTTTCTGGGCAGGACAGGGCCATGTCAATCATGATCTCACAACAGGTGTGGTTGCCTGTACTGGATCTGCACAAGAATGGGCCCATCAGCAGTCAGTCACCAATGGGGATGGAGCCTAGGGAGCCACTCCCTCTTCCAGCTGAACTATTGGCTAATGATAAATTCTGGGAGAAGCAGAGTCACTGGTGAGACCCAGACTCCAAAGACTACTTCCAAACTAATGGTCAAACAGATGGCCCAGGTTAAACCTAGTGAGTCACAGGCTTGCAGGAGAAAGGGAAGTTGATAAGGATGGAAGAAGAGAAGAAAGGGGAGGGGTGGAAGCAATCAGAATGCACTGTCCATAAATTCAAAGAACAAATTTAATTTTAAAAGTACACACACATATGTTCAGGCTAGAGTTGTAGCTCAGTTGGTATAATATCTGCCTGGGGTGCAAGAGGACCTGGGTTCAATCCCCAGTAACACACAAACCAGGGTGGGGCTTGTCTGTCATCCCAGAGGCAGGAGGACCATGTGCTCAATGTTATCCTCGGCTACATAGTGAGTTTAAGGCCAGCCAGGGGTACATGAGACCCTGTCTCACAATAAAACAAAACAATGATATGGAAAATATATACAATAGAAATCCTAGCAGAGTATAATGTGAAGAAAATGCATGTTTGATCAAAATGTTTTGCTATATCTTTATATACCTTCACATAGAAAAATGTGGAAAGGGGTCAGCCAGATAGCTCAGCAGGTAAAAGCATTCACCTCTAGGCCTGATGGCCTGAGTTTTGAACCCTGGAGTGCATACGATGGAAGGAGAGGATCAATTTCTACACATTATCTGGTGACCTCCACACATGTGCAATATAAAGTACATCCTTCCCCATAAAAAAATAAATATTGGAAAACCTAAAGAAAAATGTGGAAGTATAAACATATTAGCCAGGGATTGTCTCTGAGTAGTGAAAAAAAAAAGTGAGGAATTGTGATTACTATAGGCTCCTCTCCAAAAACATTCTAGAAATGAGTCTCCACTGGTGTGGCTTGAGAGATTTGTTTGTTTATTTAACCAATGATTGTAGCTAAGGGAATAAAATGTGACTCCAGATAAATGACATGACTAGAGAGTGTGGATGGCAGAGGAAAATAAGGAGATGGCCCAGTGTGAACAGTGAGAGGCCCTAATGAATGTCGTCAGGCCAAACCGACTCATGTCCACTCCAGACTCCTCATCCAGGACTTTCCTGCCAGAGACATGAGCGTTGTGCATTTATTTACATAATGCACAAAATCAAGTAATGCCACATGGCAGGAACTCATTGTTTAAAAACTCCCCTTCACTTCCCATTTATTTACAGTGACATTTCCTTTGCTTCGCTTATGCCTCTTAAAATGCCAACCCAGCTGTATGAAGTGGTTGTAAGTTTGAATCCCTGTCATGAAAGCAATTTTAGTAAAAATAAATAAGCCCTGTAAAGGATGTATTTACTCAAAAGCAGAATCGGTGCCAAGGAAACAGTAAGAAGGAAAAGATGGCCATCTAGTGGCTACATCGTTTCATATCAATGTGAAAACATGAAGGATTTGGGAACACTGATTTAGCAGAGATTATTTTATCAGCCAAGAAGAAATACAATGACTACAAATTAAGCTTGGCATGATAGCACATGCATGTAATCCCAGCATTCAGGAGGCTGGAGGCAGGAGGATGAGTCTGTGGCTACCCCTGGCTACATAGTGAGTTTGCAGCTAGCTTTGGCTACATGCAAATGTGTTTCCCTACCTGCTTCCCTCCCAAGAATATATATGGTTTGCTTTTTTAATAAAAGTCACAGTCTATCTACAAATTCATCAAGGAAATAATCACACAAAAACTCCTCTCGTTTTCCTGTTATTAAGGAGTTACACTAAACCTGGCTCCTGTCTTAGTAACATGGAAGATTGTTAGTGGGATTAGTCAAATTTCTGTCACTGCTTTTCACAATTTGCAAAATATAAGTGTTTAATTCACATTCATATAACTCATTGATAATACTATTAAGAATTTAACATCCAGCCATGTGAACACAGATAAACTATGTAATATTAATTAGAGAGGCAGGTTTCCCAAATTTATCTCACACATAATATCATTTTGTAATGTTAAAATCCAAGTAAAATAAGAAATTAAGTATGTTTTTTCTTTATTAAGAAATTTTTTATTCATTTTACATGCCAATCATGGATCCCCCTCTCTTCCCTCCTCCCGCTCCCACATAGCCCTTCCCCCCTACCCGCATTCCTTTCTCCAAAAAGGTAAGGCCTCCCATGGGGAGTCAGCAAAGCCTGGTACATTCAATTGAGGCAGGTCCAAGCCCCTCCTCCCTGCACCAAGGCTGTGCAAGGTGTCCCACCACAGGAAATGGGCTCCAAAAAGCCAGCTCATACACCAGGCAGGGATAGATCCTGAGCCTACTGCCAGGGAGCCCCTTAAGTGGAAGAGCAATGAAAGAGATATCTTGAAAGAGGGAGACATCATGGAGATAGAGAGAAACCTAGTGCTCAGGAAGTTCCCAGGAATCCACAGGGTGATCCCAGCTTAGACTAGTAGCAACAGTGGAAAGGGTACCTAAGCTGGTTTACCCCTGTAATCAGATTGGTAAATACCCTAACTGTCATCATAGAGCCTTCATCCACTAACTGATGGAAGGAGATGCAGAGATCCACAGCCAAACACCAGGCTGAGCTCTAGGAGTCCAGTTGAAGAGAGGAAAGAGGGATTCCATGAGCAAGGGGCATCAAGATCATAATGGGGAAACCTACAGAGACAATCAAACCAAGCTAGTGGGAACTCATGAACTTTAGACCAACAGCTGTGGAGCTTCTATGGGACTGGCCTAGGCCCTCTGCATAAGTAAAATATGTATGCTTTAACATTATATATACATGTAAAAATCACAAATAAAATGGTAAAGAAGAGAATAATTATTACCAGATGTTGGGGCACAGACCAATAATCCCAGGTACTTGGAAGACTAAGACAGGAGACTCACCAAGTTAGGGATAGCCTGGGCTACAGAATGGGTTGAAGGCTAGCCTGGGCAATATAGTAAGACCCTGTCTCAGTTTTTGAAATTTTAGATTTTTATTGAGAAAGAGAGAAGTGGGAGTATAGCCTAGTGGTAGAATTCTTGCTTAGTGTACATGAAGCCACAGGAGCAGAAGAGAGAGGGGAAAAGATTTCAGATCAAAGAGGGGAAGGCTGTGGTTCACAGAATAAAGTTGTCATTCTCAGATTTACAAACATAAATACATAAGACACATCCCCATGTTCTGTGAAGTCCATTTCTCAGTATGTTCACTAGATTTACAGCATAACATGAGAAACTCGCAGCTGGGACACAGGGGATAGGACACAGGATTTATTCTGTGCTGATATGCACAGGTTTTAAAGAAGAAATGCTTGTTGGTGAGCTTGTGTTTGTATTAATTATTCTTCTTCTTGCTTTGACAGAAAGCCTGAAAAGAGCAATTTACAGAAGGAAGGGCTTGTTTTGAGTCAGTTTGAAGGCACTGTCAATCATGGAGTCAAAACATGGTGATGGAAGTGAGGCAGCTGGTCACATTGCATCTGCATCTAAGGAGCAGTGAGAGAGGTACACTGGCACTCAGCTCATTTTCTTCCTTTTATTCAGTCTAGAACTCCAGTCCATGGGATGATGCCATCCATATTTAAAGTGTGCCCTCCCACCTCAATTAATCTAGTCTACAACCTCCCTTCACTGATGTGCCCAGAGGGTGGGTTTGCCTAGGTCCTGATTCTAGGTCCTGCCAAGTTGATAATTATTAGTCATCTATTACAGTAGAATTAACTCATGGAATAGCAACTTAGGAAGAAGACTTTAGAGAGCTCTTTGGGCCGCTTTTACTTTATACAAAAGTGAACTGAAGCCCAGGGAAATTCTATAACTTTGCCATGGTTCTACCTTGCTCAGCAGTAGAAGAGCATGGAGTTGACTTCCTCACCTGTGCTTGCTGGAGTACACTCTGCTGCTACCTTCTAACTATAATTTAGAGTTGCAATTTTGTTCATGGCCTTGTATGACAACACTTTATAGATGTTCAGGTGACAGCAGCAAAAATACCTGCCAAAAATCTGAGGAAGAACAGTTTATTTGTGAAACAAGAAAGGAGATGGATATTATTTATGAGCCAGCCTTTCTTTACTGTTCTTTATTAATAGTTTATTAGTATCCAGTTTTATTAGTGCTAGTCTCCTGTACTTGATTTGCATGTAATCTGCTAATTGTCAACATCTTAATAAGTACAAATATTAATTATTGAGCTATGAGAAAAGTCTCTTCAAAAAGAGGTAAAATAGCCTATCATATTTAGGATCACTGGGAAATAAAATAATAATCATCTCAAACATAAGAATCATATACCACATGATTAACATTAAGGTAGACCTACCATTTATATCTTTCAAAAGCATTAAGCTAACTATTTTGTTATTTTTAAATTTGCCAAGGTTTCAGAGAGGGAATGATGAACTAACTATTTTTGTTTGGAAAATCTTTCAACGCTTTTCATTCAGAATGAGGATGATGTAAGTCCTGTGTGTCAGCCATGATTCAGGACTGACCCTGAGGGTTAGTTCAATCTCCAGAGTGGACTGTAGTGAGT